AAGGGCTCCCTTAAGGGATCCTTTAAAGGGATGCTTCAAGTGCCCCTTTAAGGGTTCCTATAAGGACTCCTTGACGGGTTTAGGGTTTAGGGTTTAAGGTTTAGGGTTTAGGGTTTAGGGTTTAAGGTTTAGGGTTTAGGGTTTAGGGTTTAGGGTCCCTGTAAGGGCCGGGCCATTTGCTTCTCTTGGATGCGATCTGCTGCCTGGGCTCTCGGAAGGCGGCCCAGGGCCTTCGACGGACTCTTTGGTGCTCTCGGGCTCCTTTAAACGGTTTAGGGTTTAGGGTTTAGGGTTTAGGGCTTTAAGGGCAAGTTTAGGAGTTTAGGGATTGTAGGGTTTAGGGCTTATAGCGGTTAAGGGTTAAGGGCTTATAGGGTTCAGGGTTAAGGGTTGAGGGTCTGATTATCCATAAGGCTCCCATGGAGGGCTCCAAGGTACTAATTCAAAACAGGGGTCCCTTGAAGGGTTCTATCAGGCTCCCTTCGAGGGCTATGTTTGTATTTTGACACCTAGTTGGTTATCATAAAGGACCCTGTCCTTTCTGTGTTTGGTCCACTATACTCATTTGGGATTGCTAGCTAGGATCTGATTTAAGCGACTTACGACATACTCCTGAGTTTAGGGCTTGTGGACTCGCTGAGCATCACATGCAGAACCTCCTCACCAAGCCTTCCTGGCACCACATAAAAGCCGATTGCAGCACTTAGAATTCTTGCCCACACCCTGAACCCTGAGATTTAAACACCCTGCAAACCTGGGCCGAAAATAAAAGCCCGTTTAAGTACGATAAATCATACTACCAAGCCTTCTATCAGATCATAGAAGCTATATTGTTCAATTAAAGGGTGCTGGGCTCTGGGTAGTGCTTAGCTTGAACAAGAAACGTGGAGTCGCTCTCTAGATTCGCGAGCATTCGGATCACGGACCCTATACAGTAGAAGCCCAGAAGTTGGAAACCTACTACATCCTCAAGAGTAATGTTTTGGGAATCCCCGCGCTAATTGTCCTTAATCCGGTTTCCAACTTTTTGGGGTTTACTATAGACTCCTATAAACTCAACCCTAAATCCCAGACTCTGCCTGCAGGTTGATCGAGCATTGGTGAGCCGGAGCCTTTGCGCCACACCCAGCGCCTGTCGTTGGCAGAGCCCGTCGCGGGCTTCGAGTTGGTTGCTACAAGGGCTCTATGGCGTTCTGGGGGTTTGGGGCTTACAGGGCTTGTGGGTTTGGATTGATGTTGGGCCATATAATTACTCTATAAGAGGTGGTTTCCGTCCGTCTCACTACTTAGGATACTATAGTTTAGACAAACGAGCTTGATATCGGTGTAAAAACCGAGCAACATGTACACCTATATGTTCGAACGATTCAGGTGCACTTCAGGGGCAATCTGCTGCTTGAGACAGATCTGCATACTGTAACGTAGGGGCCTTAGTGATTAGAATAGGGTTTCGGGGTATATCATACAATAAGGACCCCCCCCAAATAGTATTGGTAATTACTTAGGCCCCTATATTACATCCATCCGCAAGAACCGAATTACTTCCACCCTAAACCCTAAACCCTATACCCTATACCCTAAACCCTAAACCCTGAACCCTAAACCCTATACCCTGAACCCAAACCCTAAACCCTAAACCCTAAACCCTAAACCCTAAACTCCCTGAACCCTGAACTGCAACTTCTGACTGCAACCCCTGGGGTCGCCCCTGAGACGCTTCAGCTTGACCTGGTCAGGGCCTAGTCATCTATTGCAAGCAACACATGTGTGGACTTCCGGGTTTAGGGTGTACCTATAGTCTCC